TTGAGGGTTTAGGGTTTAGGATTTAGGGTTTAGGGTTGAGGGTTTAGGGTTTAGGATTGAGGGTTAGGGTTTAGGGTTTAGGATTTAGGGTTTAGGGTTTAGGGTTGAGGGTTTAGGATTAAGGGTTTAGGGTTTAGGGTCTGGGGTTTGACGGTTTCGGCAACGTTGGGTCAGCTAAGAGCCCATCGTATAAACCGCTGGCCTGTTGCGGGGCTGCCCCTCGAGCCCGATGCTCTTGAATTGCAGTATTAGGGCTCAGGGTTTAGGGTTTAAGGTTTAGGGTTTACGGTTTAATGTTTAGGGCTTAGGGTCTAGGGTTTGTAGGGTTTAGGGTTTACGGTATCAGCCTTTGGGTCAGGGTCTTGCAAGCTGCTGAACCCCTGGCCACGCTTGCCACGCACGGTTTAGGGTTTTAGGGTTTAGGGTTTAGGGTTTAGGGACGGTCTGGGCGGTCCCGGGCTTGTCATCATTGCCGCGGCTCAGGCCGGCGAGGGCATTGAACAGTTCTTGAGCCTAAACCGCAAACCCTACTTGAAGGATCATCGGACTTAGTAACTAGGGTTATATATAAGGGTACTATACTCATTTAAGGGAGTTATAACCTTACTTGCTGAGTCCCATGATCCTCCAAGCAAACCCCCATCCGGACCAAAACTGTGTTCATTTGCGGCTGGCGCCGCTGCCAAACACGCGCTCGCGACCTGGTTGGCCCGCTGAAGCCACGAAACGCTTCACAGTGTTGGGGGGGCCTCCACATTGTGCACCTCCCAGAGAGGGAATATACCTCAGATTATGGGGGCCTTAATATTATGATCTAAGGTATATTCCTTAATTAAGGAGACCCAAAACCCCATACCCTAAACCCTAAACCCTAAACCCGCAATATTATGATCTGAGGTATATGGGCTTGGTGGTCTTGTTCAACTCTTCGAAGGTCATGGTGCTGATGCTCCGCAGCCCGGGCACCGTCCATCCGGGATGTACCGGAACCCAGAGAACCCCATACTCCCTAATTAAGAAAAATACCTTAAATCATAATATCTAAGGCCCCTATAATCCAAGGTCTATTCCTTAGTTAAAACTAAGGTGTATTAGGTTCTCTGGAAAGTTGTCATGATTTTCGTTGAGGGACTGGTGCTTCAGGGTTTAGGGTTGGAGGACATGAGGAGTGTGAAGAGGGGTTTTTGAGATTTTTTCAGGGCGTCTTCCAGGGATACCGAAATATCCCAAATAGCAAAATTTTTCAGAGTTACTTATTATGATTCCCTACATCGATCCTAGAAGCAGATTGGTTTTTCAGGGTCTAGGCAGGACTTGAAGAAGCAAACAATCCGGACTGACGACAGGACTGTTCCAGGTCCAACACCGATGATCCCGGAGGGAAGAGCAGTTGGCCAATGTAGAGGCCCTGAATGGGGGGATCATGCAGTATCATCAAAAAGGACCTTTGAGGGGATACTAGTACTAACTAAACCCTAAACCCTAAACCCTAAACCCTAAACCCTAAACCCTAAACCCTAAACCCTACCCTAAACTAGTCCAGGCCGTACATTACACTTAGGATGAATTAGGATACTTCTGACTGTGCCTGGACTGAAGCCTCCAAAAGCCTCCAAAACTATTAGTTGCTAGTAGCCTTACATCCTGAGCCCTAAACCCTAAAACCCACCTACACCCCAAACCCTAAATCCAAAACCTTAAAACCCTAAAGCCCCAAACCCTAAAGCCCTGAAACCCAAAGTCCTATATTTTACATAAGGCCCTAAAGCATCAATAAACGTTAGAGCCCAAAGCCCCAAAACCCTAAAGCAGGAGAGGCAAGCTGTCAATCTATGACCGGTCGCTGCAGAAGACGAGGATCCGCACCTCAAGGTTGAGGGCTGTGGGGCTTTGGGGTGTTAGGACCTGCTAGAACTTCAGGGCTTTAGGGGTCTGGGCTGTGCGGGACTTTTTTGATGTAGGGGCCTTAATAATTACCTATGTTATTTTGGGGGTTCCCGATTATAACTATAGTATAATATAACCCAAAACCCTAGTCGAATTATTAAGACCCCTTACTGGCTTTAGGGTTCAAGGTTTTAGGGCTTTGGGGTGGGGTTCGGGTTCAGGGCTTTAGGGCATGTGGGCTCTAGGGTTTAGTGATTCAGGCTATGGGGTGGAGTAGGGTAGGGGTGTGGTGGGGGTGGTTGGGTAGGTGCTGGGGGCTGCAACAAGAATTGAAAATATAGGCGGCGGAGTTGAAGAGAGCCGTTCGTGAGGCCAGCCAGCATTTATCAGGCACAAGTTGTGCAGATGGAAGCGTGCTCGCAAAGGCCAAGCCCTAAACCCTAAACCCTAAACCCTAAACCCTAAACCCTAAACCCTAAACCCTAAACCCTAAACCCTAAACCCACAAGCGATGGAGAAGCTACATGGCAGAGCCAACAAAACCTGGAACCTGGGAGCTGTTACAGCCCGGCGGGATCTTTCTGCCCTAAACCCTAAACCCTAAACCCTAAGCCGTAAATTCAGCTCCAAAACCCTACAGTGACCATAAGCCCTACCTCAACCCTTAAACCATGAGCCCGCACAGAGTCGAAAAAAGGTTTGCACCTTTTCTTGTTGGGACGGCAGAAGGCCCTAGGCAGTGACCTTAGGGTTTGGAGGGGGTGTAGGGTTTAGGGTTTACGGTTTAGGGTTTAGGGTTTAGGGTTTAGGTGACCCAGACCCCTTCAGGAAAGTACTTCTCATAAGGCTCCTAGCATCTAGCGTCCTTTATTGCCACCACCGTCATCTCCCGCCCCCCCCAATCACCCGGAGAACCCAATACCCCTTAATTAAGGAATATACCTTAAGTTCTCTGGGTATCTTCCCCCGCCACCCTTCCCTCCTCAAATGTTTACAGCCTTGCTAAACCCAGAGAGACCTAAACCCAAACCCTAAACCCTACAGTGACCATAGACCCTAAACCCAAACCCTAAACCCTACAGTGACCATAGACCCTAAACCCAAAGCCCTAAGCCCTAAACCCTACAGTGACCATAGACCCTAAACCCAAAGCCCTAAGCCCTAAACCCTACGGTGACCATAGACCCTAAACCCAAAGCCCTAAGCCCTAAACCCTAAACCGCCAGTAGTACCCTTTTTACAGTTCGCTCCCGGGCTCCCAAATTATGGGAGAATCAAGACAAATAAAAACCCAGAGAACCCTATAGGGGTTTAGGGTTTAGGGTTTAGGGTTTAGGGTTACCCCTTAATTAAGGAATATACTTTAAATCATAATATGAAGGCCCCTACAACTTAAGGCATTTTCCTTAATTAAGGGGTATTGGGTTCTCTGGGACTGAGGGGGCGCTGGGGAGCCTTGGAAAGCCCAGAGACTCCAATGCCACACGAACAGCCTCTATAGGGTTTAGGGTTTAGGGTTTGAGGTTTAGGGTTTAGGGTTTAGGGTTGAGGATTTAGTCCCATAGGGTTGAAGGGCTGAAGCCCTAAAGCCTAAGCCCTCAACCCTAAACCCTAAAGCCTAAGCCCTAAACCCTCAACCCTAAACCCTAAACCCCGCAACCGTCAACCCCCCGAGCCTGATCCCTAGATGCATGCCCCTGTAGGAGTTGCTCGGCCTAAGCTCAAAGCCTAAGCCTTAAGCGATGAATCGAAACCTCAGAAGTTCGAAACACTTAAAGGTTTCAGGGTTTAGGGTTTAGGGTTTAGGGTTGAGGGTTCAGGGTTTACGGTTTAAGGCAGGGACCCAAGGATTTTATAGGTCTTCGCAAGGTGGCTTCTGTTCCTTTGGAGCGCCTTAACAGTTTCCTTAGGGTTTAGGGTGTAGGGTTTAGGGTTTAGGGTCTTTCGAGTTTACGGAGCTTGGTTGGAAACAAAGAGTATGCATTTGCAGGGTATCTACAGGCACACTGGTGCCGCTTGATATTACTATGCTTGCTACAACTCCTGTTATGCTTATTGCTACGGCTGTTATTACTGTTAGCATTATTGTGACTATACTTATGCTTGGCACTATTGTATAAAGCTTCAGATGATGTAGTGAGGATACATCAGAAAGCCATATATCGACTTCCCGGGCTAAAGGGAGTGCTCTTGCATTCCGACCGACCCACCGAGAGGTCGGAATAGTTTGTAACGATATGCCCTTACTTACCTGAAGGTTCATGGGACTTAGTAACTAGGGTTAAACATAAGCTAGCAAAAGGTAACTATACTTGCTTATAGCTCCAGTTGAGGTACTTACAACCTTACTTACTGAGTCCCATGACCCTCCAAGCAGAGTCCCTGACTCTACTTTCATGTGGTCCAGCACCCTATTCTAGTTATTGAGGCCCCTAGGTTCACATTCTTAAGACAGAGGACTCCAAATAAACCTGATTTTTGAGCGCACTACCGGCTAGAAGCTCAAGACTGAAACCTGAAACCAACGGTTTAGGGTTTAGGGTTGAAAAGGGTTCCCCTAGAGTCTGACGGCCTCCCTAAACCCTAAACCCTAAACCCTTAGAACCACCAGGAGCGAGGTGAGCCTCTCTGCATTCGGCTTCCTCTTCGCCGAGGTCGTGGAGTACTGCCTGAAGAAGGCTTCGTTGCCTGGGATCTCCTTCGTGTTTTTTGTTTTTAGGGTTTAGGGTTTAGGGGTTTTTGTTTATATGTTTACGGTCTGATGAAGTAAAATAGAAAGGACTTCTTGACGACAATCGGCACAGGCTTTAGCGGCGGATGGTATGTATCAGGGTTCCCTAATCGATAGTATATCATATAGCATAACCAGCTCTGAACCCTAAACCCTAAATCCCAAACCGATTTTTCCAAAGCTGCCACTCTTGATGTTAAGCCTCCAGCAGTCTTCCGCCAGCTGAACGCCAAATCCTGCTTGGGGGTTCGTGGGACTTGGTAACTAGGGAGGGTTGTAAGTACCCTAACTGGAGTTATAAGTAGTTATAGGTGCAGTTACCTTATTTATAACAATAGCGACGATGTCCCGTGAACCTCTAAGTGCTCCAGGCCGCTGTCATGCACGACCTCGAGGACGATTTTGCTCGGTTTCGGCTCGGAGTAGGGGTTTTGTGCGGTTTCGGATTTCGGGGGCTCTTACAGGCTTACCTACTTACTTATATACATCGCGGGCTAGGAAGACCGATCGTTAGATCAACCGATAGATGGCTAGATCGGTCTTGCCCCCGCATGACCCGAAGCTCTACAGACTAAGCCCCATCCCTAGGCGTCAAGCATCAACTCTAAACCCCCAAAGCCCCAAGCCTTGAGCTCTCAACCCAAAACCCCGAGCCTTAAACCCAAAACCCTAAAGCCTAAAACCCATAAAGCCCTAGAGCCCTAAAGCCCTAGAGCCCTAGAGCCCTAAACCCCTAAACCCTAAACCAAAAGCCCTAAGACACAGACTTAAACCACAAGGGTCCTGGCTTTTCTCTCCGAGATCGTGCTTTCGAGTGCTGTCGACCCGAAAACCTAGATCTCTGAAGGAGCTGGTTTACGGAGGGTTTAGGGGTTTAGGGGTGCAGGGATTTAACTTTATGGTTTAGGGTTTAGGGGTTTAGCGGTTTGAGGGTTTAGGGGTTTAGGGGTTTGAGGGTTTAGGGGTTTAGGGGTTTGAGGGTTTAGGGGTTTAGGGGTTCAGGGTTTAGGGTTGAGGGTGTTGAGCGCGGTTTCGAAGGGATCGGAAACGGATTTGCAAGGGCTTATCCAGTGAGTTTTTCTGGCAAAGGGTTTCATGTGGGCTGAATCCGGGCTCGGTAGAGGTTTGCAGAAGGGGCTTGTACGGATGTGACCCCCTTAACCCTAACCCTAAACCCTTCGGGATTGACAAGGGTCAGGATTTAATTCAGCAGTAGGCTTTCGGGGTTTAGGGTTCGGGTTTAGGCTGTAGGGCCTCTGGACCTCATGGCTTGCGTTTCGAAAACCCTAAACCCTAAACACCTAAACCCTAAACCCCCCAAAACACCCTGAACCTTAGACCCCTAAACCCTAAACCCTAAACCCTAAACCCCGAAAGCACCCTAACCCTAAAACCCTAAACCCCTTGAGGCGTGTAGAGTGTTTCGGGATTGCAGGCGTTTGTTTACGGCCTTCGGGGTTTGCGGCTCGGGGTTGCAACGCTTATTATAGTGGCCTTAATACTTACCGGTTTAGGGTTTAGGGTTTAGGGTTACTTTGGGGGTTCCTTCTTATAATTATAGTATAATATACCCAAAAACCCTATTAAAGCCCTATTCTAATTGTTAAGGCCCCTACTTTAGGACTCGGGGCGATGGGGCTGTTGGGCCTCAGGATGTTTTCGAGTTTCGGGCTTTGAGGGCTTTGAGGGCTTAGGGTTTAGGGTCTAGGGGTTTAGGGGTTTAGGGTTTAGGGTCAACCCTAAACCCTAAACCCTAAACCCTGAGCCCTTTTTTAGGGTGCCTTAGGTGTTTATGGCTTTTGCGGCGTTGAGCTCGTGCTGAGGGTTCGAGGCTTAGGGTTCAGGGTTTAGGGTTTCGTGCTAGGATATAGTATAGGGGCCTAAATCATTACTCATACTATTTTGGGGGTTCCTTGTTATAATCGTACCATTATATACCCCCAAACCCCACTCTGATTTTTCAAGGCCCCCATATTAGGAATTGATGTCAACTCGCTGTGAGGCTCAGGGGACTAAGTAAGTAGAAGCAGGCTCCCAACCCCGCCACAACCCTAAACCCCCAACCCCTAACGGGTTAGTGTTTAGGGTTTAGGGTTCAGGGTTTACGGCCGTAAACCCTTAACCACTAAACCCTAAACCCTAAACCCTAAAACCCTATAAACCTATAAACCCTGTCTTCCGTCTTCAAGCAGCCATGGTCGTATGGCCCTCTGCCGCTCCCGCCTCCGCGCAGCTGCGGCCGGGGGGTCCGGTTCTACTTGGAGGATCATGGCACTTAGTAACTAGGCTTATAAATAAACAAACTGTACCTATAAGTAATTATAACCTCATTTAAGGCAGTTATAACCTTACTTACTACGTCCCATGATCTCCAAGTAAGCACTAAACCCTAAACCTTATAGAGCCCTTATAGAACCCTTTAGGGGTTTAGGGTTTAGGGTAACTCGGCGTACTAAGTTCCATGATCCTCCAAGCAGGGTTTCGCATTGGCTTCTTGGGGTTCTCGAAGACTAGACTCGAGCCTTTGGGTCTTAGGTTTAGGGTTTAGGGTTTAGGGTTCAGGGTTCAGGGTTTAGGATTTGGGGTTTAGAGTTCAGGGTTCAGGGTTCAGGGTTTAGGGTTTTGGATTTGGGGTTTTGTGTTTAGGGTTTAGGGTTCAGGGTTTAGGTTTTTGGATTTGGGGTTTAGGGTTCAGGGGTCAGGGTTCAGGGTTTAGGGTTTTGGATTTGGGGTTTTGGGTTTAGGGTTTAGGGTTCAGGGTTGATGGTTTGGGGTTTGGGGGTTTGGGGTTTAGGGTTAAGGTAACCTGGGAGTTGAGCGTGGTTTGGGGTTCTGGGTTTTCGGGTCTACAAACCGCGAAGAGCTAAACCATGTCCTAAGCATGAACCGAGAAACTTAGTCTAGGACATTTTCAGGTGGGTAGTTACCGTTATAGCAGCCTTACAGAAGGTCGATATACCTTATGGAAGCCTTAT